GGGTAGGCAGAGCACAGATAGCCCATTGTGTAGCTTTGTGCTTAATTACAAAAAAAATTGTTCACTATTTATTTGTCAATGACTTGTGACCGACTTTCAAGAAGACACGTCGTTGGACAAGTAAGCGCGTATTATACAGTACATTTCATGATTTTATGTTTCATTTCCAGTGAACTTCTATTCAGAAAATTCGTGCACCTTTCATGTGTTTATCTTAAATATAAGCAAAAGTACCGAGAAAAAATAAACGCTATATGGCTTTGACTCCAAAAGTTATTATACTAATTTATAAGTATTAAGTCTATGGTATGCTTTAGAATACTATACGGGGTGTCCCAGAAGTCTGGACTCATAGGAGAAAATACACAATATTTTCTTAATTTATTTATTATTTAAAGTGTGTACCATTAACAGCCATACACATATCAATTCTTGGTATACTGTGCCATCAGGGTTTTTTTATTTCCTGAAATATGTACAACTGACATTAGAAATGTGTTTGTTTAACTTTAACAATATAACGTCTATTTTCTCTATGGATCCAGACTTCTGGAACACCCTGTACATAAAGACATGATTTAAAATAATTAAATTGAATAATAAATAGACTATTTTATGTGTCACATTAAATAATATGATTATAAGCTTCAAAATTCTTTATGACATCAATAATACAAAATAATAGGCGGCGAAACCGGGGGCACGTGCCCCCAACTTTTGATGCGGTAGTGAAATGCACCTTTGAATGGGGAATAGAGACTTCTGTATAATTATCAGGGGAAGTCGCTGTTTCAACACAGCAAATAATGTGCTCCCCGAAACGTCGTTACTCCCCCTTTCCTCAAATTCCAATTTGTTCCTTCGCCTAATACAGCGTATAAGAGATGTAACCAAGGTTAGATGAAAATTTCCAATAATTCTACGGTGAGCCTGAAGGCTTATGACAAGTAAAAAAAGCGGGTTAGTTTGCTTGTGTTTGATAAGAGCAAAGCGACACAATGAGTTATCTGCACTTTGCCAACCACGAATATCGAAACCCGATTTTTAGCGTTTAAGCCCTCAAGCTTATCGCTGAGAGAGGGGAGCTAAGAGGTTCGAAACCTACAGTAGGCACAATGAAGATGGCCCATTGTAGCTTCACGCTTAGAAGCAAAATATCCAGATCTTCCCTAAAATACTTTATTTTTTACATAGCAGCACACTGTAAATATGCTAACTTGCCCTTCACAGTAACATATAGCAGCACACTGTAAATATACTTAATTTACCCTTCACAGTGACATAAAACTGCTCTCTTTTAGATGTAAACTCTACAGTCTTTAAAATGTCCATTAAAACTATTTAGTACCTAATACATATAGGCTTAGATTAGTATCTCAGTTGGAATCCGTAGTTTCATAGTGAGAACATTGTAGTTTTGATTTGTGGTAAGTTTGTTTGTTGTTAAGCACAAAGCTACACGATGGACTATATGGCCACCACTGGTATTGAAACCCGATTTTTAGCGCCATAAGCCTACGGCTTACCGCTGTGTCACTGGGGGTCAATTCCAGGAGGACTACTTTTTATTTATTTAATAAGATTGAAATATTTTAATATATCCTGTAATTTTTAATAACGTCAGAATTTTCGATTATTTATTATTAAGAAACTAATTTCTGTCGGTTAACACGGAATATTTCTAGTTTCATACTTCCCACGGTGGCTCAGCAGTGAGTCTGCTGGCTTCCGACACTAAAAATCGAGTCTCGATACACGTGATGGACAGAGTGAAGACAACAACAATCAAACCAAATCTAGTTTGGTTATTTATGGGCAGTTTTTTCATCGTTTCTTACTAAAGTAATATCGGGTTGATATTTTTTACACCAAAGTAC